ACAAGTTATGGTCACCAAACTCCTTACTGACTTGATTCATTCATTAATCCAACAAAAAACTAGCACAAGCAAAAAAAATAGTAGAAGTCAAACTGTGGGGAGGATGAAGGAAGGATAAAAAGGGAAACATTATTTCTGTTTTTTCTGGTTTTGTGATGAACCATTTGATCGACCTCTTTATCGTGAAAGGGGTACTATGGCAGAAAAAGACAAATGTTCTAGATTTGTACTCTACCTCTTATTTTTCCCATTCCATTCTCTATACTACTACTGCTAGTTTGTCTTGCCCTTAAGTTTAGTTTCCCTCCTGAGAATGAAGTTAAAGGATGTCTTATATATAGAAAGATTAATTCTACACTTTTTTTTTTAAAGATCTCCCTCATGTGTTTTTCTGTAGGAAGAACATGTCCTTTTCCAGCTGGAAGAAGGAATTGAAGCCTTGGAGGCTGCTATTGATTACAAGAATGAAAGTATTCAGAATCGCCAGCACTTGCTTAGGTCATCTTCTCAGATTCTTTCACAGAGCGAGAATAATGTACTAGGAAAACTAGTTTCCCTGTCTGCTGCTGAGCTCAGAGCTATCCTCTTCAAATATTTCAACAAGGTTTGTTTTGGCTAGTGAAAAATATTTTATCCTATTTTCTGTTACTATTCTAGATAATGAAATGAGATGGTGTCAAGAATTAAAAATAAATTTAACAAACTTTTGGTGAAAATCTCTTCAGGTTACATACATTTGCTATTAATTCAGATATTTTTAATTTTTACATTAACCTAAATAGGATGCTTAACTTTGTATATCTTGTTTTGGGGTCATTCGCTTAAAAGGTGCTACAAAACTGGAAATTTTCTTGCTCCTTTCCAGTGCTCTGTGTTGCTAACTTTTGGAGCAGCAACATATTTAAATAGCAGCATTGCACTGAAATTCTTCCCATCTGCAGGCTTCATAAACCTCAGGCTAGTATTCCTATTTTTTTTTTAAAGACAGTATAAACTCTTTTTGCATACACTGCCTGCAGTGTGTACAGCCAAATACTGAAGAATCATACTGACATCTGGACACATAAAAATGAAGTGCATTAGGACATGGTGTATCTTTGTGACCTTGGGTGAACCTTGAGTGATTTTGTGAACAAGTTGTCTGTGGGATGCAAGTTGGAAGTTTTCCAGAATCAGGAAAACACTGTTGTTTCAGTTCAAATTCTGCACAGGGTATTAAAGAAATCCACTAGTCCATGTGATCAAAACATACAGAGCTAATTTCTAAAGTGTGAACAGGCAAGCAGGCAAATCTGTTTCCAATATAAGCTTATGCCTTACAGAGACCATTGGTTTTTTATGCTTTAATCTATTAATCAGAAAGGTAAGTAAAATCTTTTATGGAAATGGTTTGATAAATCAAAAGAAGTGTATTTCTTTCTTAGATTGTTGGCCTACGTGAGTCTGAACGTAAACTACAACTGCAGATTGAAGAACAGGAAATGAAGGTCATAGACCAGGAAAATATAATACGTGAATTAGAATCTGCACTTGAACACGTCAAGTTGCAGTATGACAGGCAGCTGACCCTACAACACAAAGACCATGAGAAAAAACTACAGTTAATACTGCATCATTTCAAAGGTATTTGCTTCTTGGGGGGGAAATGTACAGCAAGTATTTTCAGTCACTACTGAGAAATACTATATTCCAACTGAAAAAAAAAGAAGAATAAGGTCATAGATATATTTTGGCTGTCACTAATTCTGATGTTGTGTAGGATGCCGAACAGTAGACACATGGTGTTTGTATGAAGAGAAAATTGAGTATTTTTTTAAAGCAGTATCATAATTGGTGTATTTTCATATTGAATTTGCTGATACTGGAAAGTTGAAAGGTATCGGTCCTGCTGATCTTGATCTTCTAAATACTCCTATTAAAACTGACAAGTGGGTTGGCATGGCCCTTTTTGATCCTGTGTCATACTAGTTAAAATGTACACACTGCAAGCAAAGCGTCAGCAAGATACAAGACATATTCTGACTAGTTGGGCATCTTGATGTTTGGCACAGAGGTACTTGGTTCTTAAACTGGTTTTACTTGTCCTAGAACAAGATAGCGAAGGTATTGCAGAAACCTTGAAAGGGTATGAAGTAAAAGTCCAACAACTCGAAAAAGACTTATTTTTCTATAAGAAAACCAGCAGAGAGCTAAAGAAGAAATTGAAGGGCCTCTTTGGAGAGTCATCCCATCAATTATTGGCATCCACTAAATGTAAGTACATTATCTTGAAATATTTATGCAGTTGTCAATAGAACATTTGAAGGGTGGTGAACACACAGAAGTATATCAGATAGACATAAAAATCATATTTTTACTGAACTATCTATTCTCCAGGAATACATTACACTTCCTCCTGAGTTACAAAGGAGAGGCAACATTGGTTTGTAGCTGTAGCAGTGGTATACCAGTGGTTTAAATTCTTCTTCTGTTTTATCTGGATTCTAACATAATTTCAGTGTCTACAAGATGGTTAAGAAAAAGGAATTTTACTGTCTGAAAAGGTCTGAATGACGCTGTAACTAACAGCTTTGGCATATGCCATGCTCTTAGGTAGGCTGCTCCCAGCACTTGATTTCATAAAAGTTACTTACTGGGACATTGTCAGTGAAGAATTCCATACTTTCAGTTACTAATTTACTTTACTTACTTACTAAGGCTAAAAGAGAAGATTTATACACTTACAGCGAAAAAAAGAGACCTTTCTAATGTGGTTCTGTGTTTTGACACAAAAAAACCCCAAACAAATCAACAACCAACTACTGCTGTAAGTTTTTCATGTCCTACTTTGTTCCATGTCCTACTTGCCAGAATCCAAACCTGTAGTAGAGCTATTCAAGTGGAAGAGAAAAGAAGGTTCAATTTCTGTCACTGTTTCAGTTGTCTCGCACCTCTTGATGCCACCACCAATACCTCACATGCACTATACAGCCTTCTTGGCCCTGTGTTTCTTCTTGAGGCTCAGCGTGACTGGTTCTTCCTCCCAATGGATGCTTCTGTTTCTTTCCACTCGGGCAGTGCCATGCCTTCCTAACACATAGATGCTGATCACATACCTGCTACTCCCAGAGGGAGTTAAGGCTCAGCCCGTACCCCTAGGCAGGATAACGAGCCAACATGTTCATTACTATAAAGTACACTGTCAAACTGTGAACATGAATATTCTACAGGTTGGATTATAAATGAGCGTGGGAAAGACTATTCTATGTCTAGTATACAAAGGAGCATGTAGTTCAGGGCATGTATCCATATGGGGAAACACCCATCCTAGCCAAATTGTAGCAAGAAGAAGGAAGAAGGTAGCTGTGAATTTCCAACTTTTTCAAATACATATGTTTGTTAGTAAGTTTTGTAAGAAATACTTTGTATTTAGTTATTCTTCTTTTTAATACATTTTGAGGCATGCTGCAGTGCAATGTAATAAAAACACTTTATGATTTGTTGCTGAGCTTTAAAAATACTAAAAGCCCTGTGTGTACCTTACAGTCAAATTTGCAGAATGTGTTTGTGTGTTATCCTAGTGTAATTGACTGTTTCTGAATATACGAATGATCTCATATTTGACTGTCATGGTTCAGTTGTTTTAAGACTGCCTACTACAATATATTACAAGTTAGAACAGTGAGGCTTGTATTGCCAGCATCTTGTCAGAGGCAAGTAATAGTTAATACCTCTGATGTTTTTGTAGATGACAAACTTTTTAACAGAAAGGACAAAATGTGAGGTGCTGATAATTTTCACCACGTTCACACTACAGGTTACTGATGCTGTAAAATCATATTGACTAACTAATATATCTTGATGGCAGGCACTCAGAAGATTTGTATCTTTTAGATAGTTATCTCCTGATAAATTTCATTTTAGATAACAGTGCTGGTGACAAGGCATCCAGTCAAGATGAAGCAGAAGTTGCTTCTGAAGAATTCAAGTCAACATTTAACCCTGAAACCAACAGTCAACCAGGGAAAATAAAAGAACCAGATAGAACAAGTATTTTAAGAGCACAGCAGAATTCATACAAGCTTGGAGAAGATGTTCCAGAATTTGGTTGCAACAAAGAAGGTTTTTCAAGCACTAGTGATGACAAAACAGGAGCAGACGAAGCTCAGCCTTCAAAATCTCATTCTCAGCTACCTTCTGTCATCCAGAGAAGAGAAACCGTAACACAGTTTCAAGGAGTAACTCCAGTAAAACTATCTCGCCGAGAGCTACGTCATATTCCTCCCTCTGAATTATCTTTGAGACGCTCAGGCCTTGGAGTTGGTGTCAGTTTAATTGCTCCAGATTCCATTGAAATGGACAAAAAGTCTAGTGTCACTAAGACATAGCTACTCTTCATTGCATTTTTAATAGCTGTTGCTACTGAAGCAACTGTATTAGATTTCTTTGTTCATGGTCTTGTTAAGTATTGACCACGGATAAAGCATTCTTAGTCCTTATTGCTCTCTGTCAAGTCGTTAGATGTTATGCTCACACAGTTTCAGAGAATCTGAGATGAATTTTAATTAACACAGTATCTAAGAATTTTCATTCAAAGGCCTTTTAATATTGAAGAAATTATTTATATTGGGGTATTTTTTGCAGTAACTTCAAAAAATATAAAACCTTTTCAAAAACTGCACTGTGACATGCACTGCAGTATGTTTCCTAGAACAATAGTCTACTTCACTTTCTTGGGTCAGAAACAATGACAAATTATTTAATTTATTTGGGTATATAGCTAGAAAATTTAGTTGCCAGACTGTCACCTAGTATTGATAGTGACTGGCTTCTGTACACTCTTTATCTAAAAACATTTTAAATGAGCCATGTTTGAGACCAAAATTGGTACCTAAAGATAAATTTGTCCTGAAAAGGAACATAAAAGTACCTACTTTTCTCTTCTTTATGGCTTATGTATGAAATTCAGAGAATTGCTTATTTTACTTGCTGGTTTTGTTTGTTGGGCTTTTAAAGAATTACACTTGGCAACTCAGTGTGATATTTATTTCTGTACTACTAAGATGGAAAAAAACAGAGGACCAAATTCAGCATGTCTTGGTAAGCCAGATGAACCAATATATTATTTTATTTGTACTAACTAGTCATGTCCTTCTTCTGGATTCCATATCTGCTTCAGAGTAAGGACTGCACATATCCTTCAATTTACTGCTGTACTGTTACTGGTAATGCATACAGGATGAAAAGCAAATTTTTTTTCTAAGAGGACAGTGGTCACTGAGAAGCATACGCTTAACAGCTGCACAAACTTGAACGCAGAGACCAGAATGTCCACATTTAAATGAGCTTAACACCTCTAACCGTATCCCTCTCCTACATAAAAAGTGGCAGGACCGAAAGTAAGGTTAGTTTTATTTTAGTAGCGGACTTCCACCAGTCATGTGTGAAAACGTTGTCTTATTAGATGTACTTAGGAAAGGAATTTTTGCTTTCTGCTTTTTTCTAGGCAAGGTCTTGTGTATAGCATATGTGACTATAGGTATAAAAGAACTACATTTTTCCACGCTGCAAGCACAGTTCAAATCTGTCCAAATTATGAAGATGCTATTTCAGCACAATAAATGAACCTATTGTCTTGTGGCACGTTTTAAAATTTTCTGCATAGACTGCAAAATACTGCATTCTGATCAGATAGATAAACCACTTAACGGGTCAAATTACTGTATCTTTCACGATTATACCTAATTATGACCTATTGTTCAGATGAACTGTGAGATAAGGGTTGGGGTCTTTCTTGATTTGTTTTGGGATTGGGCTTGACTGTTTCTACTGTCACGGAAGTACTGAGCCTTAACTAATGTTAAGTTTCATATTGGTGTATGTATCATTAAGTGAATGTTTCTAGTCAAAAAGCAATAAATAGAAACAAGTATAGTTTCAAATGTGTACTTATTTACTACATCTCTGTATTAAGTGAAGTAATTGTTGAAGGAATTTCTTCTCAATACTGTGCATTATCATACACCTCATACTACTCTATGAATAAACATGAATTCCTCTTCTTTTGAAGTTTTCACAAATGAAAATCCTGTTCTTTACGGATGCAAAACAAGCACGGGAAAATGTAGGAAAGTGTAACTAAATCACTAGTAGACATCAGCTGGTGCTCTGGAGGTTTCTGTAGCGGTGACACTGCAGATTAAGTAGTCATGCAAACATTAGATTCTGTATGCCACATGTGCCCATTTCAAGACACAACTACAACGTCACCTAATGCCAGGGTCAATAAATCCACCAGATATATTTCTGATCTTTGGAGAAGTGGAAGAATGGTTGACCTTGAGGGGGACCTTACATAAGCAAAGCAGCGAGAGAGGCCAGTGTAGAACAAGAAAGGTACACAGTGAGTTACGTTCTCATTTATGTAACTCTAACAGGGCTAACAAATAAAATGGTTTTACCTCTTTCAGACAATACGTATCTCCTCTTATTTCTGCTAATTAAAAACAAGACTTTATCTGAGAGGCTTTTATTATCACTCTGTTTTAATTCCTTGATGTTATTCACTGGTATTTTCAGCCTTCATTGACATTTAGCTGTTGTGCAATATGGGGGTAAAAACAATATGGAGCTAATGCGCAGTGATCCGCCACACCGTAAGTTCACTTAAGAACAGCTGTTTCTCCTGTGAGGTCCTGCTAACACGAACTACAAAATAGCCATGTGTATAATCTGTTCTGTTGTCTAGCTAGTAACCGTGAATAGAAACTAGCTTTGCTTATGATCTGAATTCTCCAGTTATCTGAATGCTGTGAGGGTTGCATTGCCAGAACAGACTCTTGCCCTCCCTGTTACTCTTTCCTTTAGTGCTGCGCAGTAATGGCGGAGTTACCCCACGTGAGTATTCGCAGGAGTTCTCTGATTTGTGTGAATGTTAACTCCATCACCTGTGAGAACCAAATGTGGCTTCTAGTAAGTTAATGGAAGTTTTACCCTGTATATACCAAAACAGGGTTTTGCTCTCAGTAACTTAAAAGGTGAGATTGACCTGAAACTCCAACTACGCACGTACCAGTGCGTGCGTGGTGAGGGATCTTTTATCCTGGCAAACCAACTTTCAATCCGACCGACATGAAGGTTCCAGGCCGAGTGCGCTTTCACGGCACGCCCAACAAGCAGTACGTCCATTCCGGTTTTCAGCATCAGCATGCTGATTAAGCAGGTTATTCTATGCAGGGCTGCCAATGAACCTGAAAATATTTTGTAAGAAAAACTTGCAGGGCACCGCTTCAACAAATGCACGTTTCATGCCTTTCTAGCATTATGTGATCTTTCCTTAACAGCGAACGTGAAACACAACACAGCAAACTGTTACTCTGCAAACAGTACGCTCGTTAACCCGGGTTACTCATGCCACGATCTATGACGGCACAACACACCGGCTGTGCACCAGCTGAAAGAAACGACAGGCGCCAATGAAGGGCAAGGGGGTTTTGGTTTGGGTTTGTTGCTTTTTTTTTTTTTTTTGCT